TTACCAGTTATTATTCTGTGGACATTTGTGCTGGGGCAGTACAGAGATTAGCCATCTATTTAACCAGAGACATATCTGTTAATATTNGATGAGAATTTATATCTTGTGTCTGCGATAATTGTGTTAGTAATACTATAAACGATGTTGTTAAGTGGGGATTTGTTATCTTAATATTATATCATGTTTACAGCAATCTGCACAGAAGCAAAGATACCCGCAATTTGTAAAGGTAGAAATCCATAACACCCTCATGTATGCTTAAAGATAATACCGGTAACAACCAACTTCTAAATATATCTCTTCATAAACTAATGAAGTACTTGAAATACCTTTATTATTAATTCAAACGTCTCCCTTAAGCATGATCATAACTATATAACTAATCACGGCGATGCTCTCTAAGTAAAAATAAAACAATGGCCCAGTTGGATTATCAATTTTATTGAGAGTCTATTTCAATGATATCGGTGATAATTATCCGAAAGGGAAATAAATCTAGTAATCTCATTTCCGATCGACTTCTGGTTTAACAGAGTCAACAACGTCGCCCGCATAAAGGACAATAGCGTTAACTGTCAACCGACTTCACCTCTTGGGTAAACAACGAAGTAAACTAATAAAAACACTTACAGCGTTCGCTGTTTGTGCATCAGTTGTCGTGGCACGCGTGCTGTTGTTCAAGCTGTATCACTAAAGATCACACTGATTTGAACCAATATGAATATTGGTCAAACCTATTATTTTTTTTTTAGAAAAGAGCCGTCCATTTGATTCTTTATTGACCAAAGAGGACTAGCGTATATATATATATATATAATTTGTATAGTACGTTAGAAGACACGAGAAGAACTTTTCTTTATTGTGTACAATCTAGGTCCAACTATGGGTCCTAATACAGAAATGCACATTACAATACAATTCACAAACAGTATGTTACACGCCACCCCGGGAATTAACTTGTACAAAGAATGAAAAAAAAAAATTAAAATAAATAAATATTACATTTAGACTGGTTAAATAAAACTCCCACCTGCAAATTTCCCTTTACCAGTTATTATTCTGTGGACATTTGTGCTGGGGCAGTACAGAGATTAGCCATCTATTTAACCAGAGACATATCTGTTAATATTTAGTGAAAAAAAAAAAAACAATCTGTGGCCCTGGTAGAGGGTATCTGCAAATAGTGGTCTAAGAATAAATGCACGGGCAGATTTACCGTGACTGGTCAACAGGGGTCAAGACCGTGAGGTCAAAACTGGACTTTCATCTGAATGACAGTTGAGTCAAAGTGCGGAAGCCCACATTCAGTTTAGATGGCCTCACTTTCTAAAATACAACCCAAATTCATCAGGGGCATAACCAGACCATTTAAAATTGTACGGACAGATTTTGAAAATTCCCAGGTACGATTATATTCCTTGAAAAATACACTGAATTTATGGAGAATAATATCATGGTTGGCTCAAAAAATTGTACGCACAGTGCATCCGTGCGTATGCCTGGTTACGCCCCTGTTCATGGCTTCAATTTATTAATATAAAATACATAAGTCACAAATAATGTATCTTGTAAATTCGAATACATTCTCAAATAGCAAATAGGCCGTCTTTCTTCCAGTACTTAGGCTTAAACATAGCCGAAAAATGTTCACCCCGTCTCCGTATTGGGTGCGGATGCACACGTGCATGTGAACGTAAGCGCAGGGGTTGTATTGTACCGAACATAACTCGAAGAAAGGGAAGTTGCAATGCACGTATAATTTATTTATACTTTTCTCGATCATGAAATGTGTACTTGCTGTAATTGTCAGAGCCCCTGTCGCACTATCACTTATAAGAAGAACATTTAATGTCATTCAAAGAGACACTTGACCTCAAATAGTACATCTTAATGCTAGTACTGCCACTTAATAAGCTTTCTGTCAACAACCCTGGAAGGTTAAAAACACATGCCTTTTTCCCCTGGGAAAACCTTAATAGCAGCGTGCAGGCGGGGTAACGTATTGTACACACACACGCGCGCCCGCTCACGCACATACACTCACGCGAAATCATATGCACACATGCAAACGTGAATGCTCGTGCATTCAGGAACTTAATACAATTCCAAGTTCAGAAGAATACGGTGGTTATTGAGATAAAAACCAATTGGCAATGGCAAACAATATATATACATATATGCATACCGGGATTTTTGCACTATCTCTATAATGGAGGTTTGTGATTTCATCTCCAACACATTCTATTTAATTCTTAAATTGGTTAATATTTACATACTTACCGTTTAATTTATTGGGATTTTCAACGTAAAAAAAACAACCGAAAAATAATAGAATTGAGGAAAAAAGGATCCCTTCCTGCTGGAAGAGGCACTTTGGTATATCTGAAACTATAATAGTAATTAAGTCTACAGCCGATATACATACTGTATACCAAACACGAGTGTCGTGATGCATGTGTGGGAATAAAAATAGACAAAAGTGATCAAAACTAATGAAAAGAATGGATTAGTACCAGCTCGCCGAGAAAATTTGACCGACTTCTAAAGCGTAAAAAAGTGCCTCCAGCGTTTTAATCAGTGACGTCGCGTTTCCATTTCTGTAATGCCCAGTCAGTGAAATGACCCTAGCAAGCGTACCGTAAGCATTGGTCATTTTAATTCTCCGCCACTTCTTATAACAATGAAGTCTTTTCAGCGCACTGCAGTGTTTCTCACGAATCAAACAATGATCATGAACTCACACTTTCTTTCACGACCGAAACAAACAGCGAAGTCTTTCGCGGCTTGATTTTGTGTACAAAGAATTGCGCAACGTTGAGACCTTACGTCATATATACCTCACTCCGTATCAATCCTTGATAAAGTCTTTTTGAAAATTAATTTTGTTATGAAACATATTTTAACTTACCACCAGGTTAATCAATATTGAACATATTGGACGCAAGGGAAGTGACCATTTTGGGCACATTTCCACTTATCTAATGGTAAATCAGCATTGAAAAAGACGGCAATATTCTAAACCGAAACAAATCGACGTACACTTTGTCTTGCCTCTCTGGTTTTCGCTCAAAAACCGAGACAGCACGACTGTCGGAAAAGTAGAATTCGATTTGGATATCTCTCTTCTCTCTTTTTTTTTAATTTCTGACTTTTACATGTCCTGAAGTTTTAGGTTAGTGGGGTTGGATCTGGTACACGGGCTGACAAGGACAGGTAGTCCTTTTCGGCGTGACACACACACACACACACACACACACTCATGATGGATGAAATAAAAGACGGTGGGGCGTACATACTCTTTGCTCAGCAAGCGCCAATTGGGGAGCCTCTCGATGCTTGCTGTCAAATACAGAGATTGGTAAAAATGTGAATGTAAAGTGCAAATGAAAATGTCCTTATGAATTGTCTCCATTGAGGACACAACCTGTGTGCACATTTCAATTCCTTTGAAGTTGAAAGTAGTGTTGATTTCTAGCAAACCAAACCATCAGCAGTTTGTTTCGCTTGGTTTAAAATATTAAATTAATCGGCCCGCATTCGTACTAGAGGTTTTTTCTCTCAAAATGCACAATGGGAAAGTTAAAGTAACACCTCACACAGACGACCCTCATGAATCAGGTAAGATAACTAAGATAAATCAAACAATGCAGCGGCCTCTTTTCAATAGGACCAGTTAATCCTAGCCGCTAAACGGGTCATTAGCAGGCAGTAGAAGCGGATCGAAGAAGGTAAAAAGAGAAAATAAAAACAAGACAATAGTTACGAGAGTAAATGTGCTGTGACAATCAGGGAAATGATTCCAGGTCGGTGACATTTTCATGGAGTATAAACGTCAATTGACCTCAACTAGAACAGAGAAAACTAAGAAAACCAGTCATTTACTGTCACACAATGCCAAAGGTAAAATAGATGTCCATACTTTATTAATTTTAAATAAATATATACATGCTTTATATTCCATACAATATTATAATACATGTATAAATACCATGAGATATCGATCTATTTATTCACCTAATTACAATGTATAATATTTATGTCTCAACACTTGTACTCAATAAGAAATATACATTATTAACAGGTAGGTGTTTATACATTAACAACCAGTTAAAATACAAATGTATGATCATGGACTTGTGTGGTTGACTTCAGCATACGGGTGAAGATGAGGTCCTACTTGATGATATCGGACTTGCAGAATTTGGAAAAAATGGAAAGTAATTAAAAAACCCACATGTACACTAAACGTCTGCTTCGGTCTTTATCATTAATTAAAGGTGTTCAAGAAATGAACATGACCTTTGTAGTAATGATTAAAAGCAGACATTTAAGATCATATTAGTTTAGGCCTACTGGCCGAGGTTTGTGCTACAAAGAATAGACATTTTGGAATGTTTTGAAATAGGGAAAAGTTTAGCAATCATGTCGCCATGGGTCAGAATAGATATTCACTATCCTCTACCAGGGCCACGGATTAATTTTTCAACAGATATTCACAAATATGTCTCTGGCAAGCAAACTGTAATGAATTAGCTAGGGAGACATCAGTGAACATCTAGTGAAAAAAAAAAAAAACTGCGGCCATGGTAGAGGGTAGATAATCGCCCAGATTTGCTACTAATCGGAGGCATTATCTCATCGAATGTCGCGTGGACTGTGCAGTGCACAACGCTCAGCGCGGATCTTGGGCAATTCCTGTCATCTTGCAGATAAATCCCAATATCATTTCAAATGTGTAAATGACAAATCCTGACAGGTGGCCACGCCCCTCACATGGTAATCATGAATTAAACGGGACCAACTTTTCGATCGATGGCAACGCGAGATTGTATAGGCTGAGCCGTCAGAGCGGGCTCATTAGGAGCCGCTGTTGGTTCAATTTTCTATCTCTCCAAAGATCGATCACGGTCTGAAATGCTGATTAAACAGACCCGCGGGTTACAAAGGATGAAGAGTATATAAATAGGTGCAGAATTAAGCGGAAAGTAATAAGCCGCAAATTTAGCCTAGACGAGAGGTGCTTGCGTTACGACGCCATTCCCGGTTAAATTTGATTCGAAGTTTATTACGCAGGCCATCCACGCCTTGGCAAATACGATAAATATGTCCAAATCGTTCCTGGTGGATTCTTTGATTTTGAAGCAACCCGGCCCTAAGCAGACGGCAGTTTCGCATCCGCAGTATGGAGGGTTTACGGCCGCACACCAACATCACCAACATCGGCTGGTTGAGAGGCAGCTGTTGGATTCCTGCGGATTTCCCCAAGGTCCACCAAATATCTACGGGACGTGTTGTCCACTCTGCGTCCATCCAGCGACCGCAGCGTCTATCACAGCGTCCATCCCACCACTGCCCGCTAGAACTACTGCTCATCATCACCACCATCGTCAATTAGTCGGACACTTGACCGCTGGTCAACCGCCACGCAATTTACATCACGCTGTGAGGCCGGCGATGTCCTCCCCGAAGCTGTCGTCGACTCCGTCGCCGCCACGCCCAGAGGTTGCCATGGAAGAACGTTACAAACGCGTGCAAGAGGCGAAGTTTCGCTACTTACAAATGGGTAAGTGGTGTTTGTGTCATTGGAAGTCTGATACCAATTATATATTTATCTACCCATCATGTCATTAGACTTATTTAGAACAACACAGTATTACATGTATGCTGTGCTGAGTGGTAACGTTTGCAGGGGATTTCACTCGGCTCAATTCCGAATTTGTTAGAGATGACAATTTTGTTCAAGACGAATGAAAAGAATTAAGGGTGAAAAAGTTACAAAGATCTTTTCGTTGAATAAAACAAAATAAATTAATTATAAAATGTTTTTTTTTCGTACAGGTCACCTTTTTGATTGCCCCTGTGATTTTTCCAAGAAAATAATTTCTCTTATTAAAAAAAATCGGTGTTAACAAATGTACATTGGCTTATTTATATATTTTTTACCTGCTGATTAGGGTAAACGATAAAAATTCTTGGGCATTTTATCGGATTTGTAAGGCGAGTAAATTTTACACTGAAGAATAAAAACAGATATCAATAAAAAACGGTTATGGTGATGGAGGGAAAAAGCAGAGAAAGTTTTCCATCGGTGATATTCACAAACAACTATGATATTTTTGGCAGATAAATTTCTTTATTAATAGAGGTATCTTGTGTTTGATAATAAAGGTTTTTCCTTTGAGTGTTGTGAAGAACATGATGATAAGGTTAATAAAGAAAATTTCGTAAAACAGACGCCTTTTTTGCATTCATCCATGTTAAAATAATAATTGAGAAACCCACAGACTGTGAATGAATCCAGGTAATAAATGCCGGCGATTATTATGATATGTTCCATGCGGGTTCAGACACACGCACAAATTAAACGTATCAGCTAATTTGCCAGTATTTCTGAGTCGGCACTACTTTTTACTCATATTTGCATACCAGGTGCATGGTTTTTGTTTTTTTTTTCTGAAAAATTTTAATTGGATCTCTTTTAATCGCACGAATTATTGTAACCCTGTTTCCCCTTTTTTTTTTAATTTTTTTCCTCGTTTTTTTTAAATAATGGTTTTTATTTCGTAATCGTTTCAGACACCAATGGCAAAGCAGACGATCTTCCCAGTAGCAAGAGGATAAGAACCGCATTTACGAGTACACAGCTTCTGGAGCTTGAGCGCGAATTTTCTGGCAATATGTATTTGACACGTCTCCGAAGAATCGAGATAGCCACTTACCTAAATCTTTCGGAAAAACAGGTGAAAATCTGGTTTCAAAATCGACGCGTGAAACAAAAGAAAGAGATCGAGGGGACGGCGGAGACGACCGAAAAATGCCGATGCCTACGGACGTGTCCGACGCGACAGCGAGGTGGCGAGAATGACGTCATCCATGACCACGATCACCGTAAGTTTACATGCAGTGAATCTTGCGTACAGACAAAGAGAGAAAACGAAGAAATTGAAAATCCAAACCAAATTCCTTACAAACGAAAGAACTCGTTACCGACTGTAATTATTGTGAAGACGCCTTCACGCAAATCACCGACAATGAAGATGAAGGTGAAAACGAAAATTTGAAAGTGACTGTTGATGTCGAAACTGACGAGCAGACAACCAATGACACCGTGAAAGCGAAACAGACATAATATTGACACTGGATTGTCGTGACGTCTCGCAAAGAATGTCACCAAGTTACAGTCTTTAATTCTAGACAAACTGAGAAGGTTCTCACGACATATATTGTCCAAGTTTGAAGTCGTTTGTAGACGGACTCTTTGGGAATTCATAGTTTAGATAAATGTACGTTACAGATGTGCGTGATTTTATTAATGAATATAATTTTTCTTTTCACATTTTAAATTTTAAATATGGGATATCAATCTTAGTTTAGATATATGGACGCTAACATTATTTACTGTACGTAGGGCTAGTATAGGCGATCTCGACCTGTGATTAAATCGACAGCCAATAATGTTCACATGAAGTAACCAATATGAATACCTAAAGTAAACTTTGGTTAATATTTCTTGTTTCCTCCTCAGTCTTAGACTAGTGCCTGTAGATGTATAGTGGTTTAGATTAAGAAAACAAAATCCTTAGTATTTGCTCCAATTTCTATTACTAAACCGTGTTATATGTAAATGTTTCACACATCATGTATTTGTTGAGAAGCATGTTTCGCTTGTTGATGTTTTTCTATGCAATAATTGAAATTAACTATGCAATTTTTCTATTAAAGGTATAACATCGTTCATTGCTATAATCTGCTTTTATTCATTTATTTATTTTTGCACTGTATGTGGCATGAAGCTTCTTCAAAATTGAATTTCCGCACTTTAAAGTGCATATAATCACAGTTTTCCAGTTTGAAAAAATTAATAAGATTGAAGTCATAGTTTGCGTAGTTTACTTATTCATTCAGTACGAATCTGTTAGCAAACATTATAAGATTTCGGGGCAATTTTCGTCGGAAAAAGCTTGAAAAGGAATACCCTGAATTTCTAAATCACCGACGTAGGAGATATTGCTGAAATATTTTAAGGAGCACACAAATTTACTACACAGCGTTTTGCACGAAAAAGGTTAAGTAGATATTTGAAAAAGCGATTAAGAAGTGTCGAAAGACATAAAATGGATTGTCTTTAAAATTGATGGAGAACGCTGGGACTTCTCGGGTTGGTTGAGGGGGGGGCTTTTTGGGGAGGGAAAGGAAGAGAAAAAGAAATAAAGAGGTAACATCTTTAAGTGAAACGCGTGAGTGTCTACAGTCTGTGGTTTGAGCAGGGGCTTGGGTCTAACTCAGAATCTGTCATACACCCCATTTCCATAGATTAGATCGACCTACTTTAGATCGACCTAACTCCCTGGGGGTTCACGCTAAATAGCTGTCAGCCGGGCGGACACGAAAGTTTATTACCTCCTAACAGCTTGTAGTAGCCGGGACAGACATTTAAGTCGGATTATCTGAAAGTAATCTAGTGAGCGGGGATAGATCGATCTAAAATCTATGGGAATAGAGCCAAAGGCGTTTTTTAGAACACTTGAATACTCCTTACGAGGCTAAAATCATAACCTTTGCAGGGCTGCAGTCACCTCTCCACTCCTTAAAATACTGCGCCGCGTTATGAATTGACGATATTGTATGTGTACATAGTAGGCCATTTTTGGGACATAATAGATGTGAATTAAAATGCACGTGCCAGTATATATTCATGCACACATTAAGGCCTGCGTAATTCATCAGTTTATTGTTATAATCAAATAAAATTACACCAGAGGTCGAACCGAATTTAAGGCTAAACCTGACTAGAATACGGGTAAACGAATGCAGTTAGCAACATGGAAAAGGCAAATTTAAAGATGTGATTTGTAGACGCCCATGCTAAATTGAATATGCTTCCAGAAGTAATGGGGGAAAGCACTGAGGGATAACAAGAAACTGGGTTCTAGTCTTATTGAAATTGAATTGCCATGTGTTGAGCATTGAATGAATTATTAAAAAACTTTTAGCAGGCTAAAATGGCCTTTCAATATTCAGGACTCACTCAAAAATATGCATTTCTCTATTATAAGCAATCCCTGCGTTACTGTATGATAATTTGATGTACTGGGCATGGACAAAATCCGTGAACTAAACGACGTGCTTTCCCGCGAGCAAGACGGGAGGAGCCCACTCATCCACACACCAATACCAACAATCCCATTTTTGAGATCCTATTTACGGGACATTGCTCGCTTCAAGCAACGATTATGATGAAAGATCTCGCGCATTTTACTTGCACGAGGTGGTTTAATTGGCAACTTGACCTCAAGGGCACTGGTATTAAACGGCCGCCAAGTGCGACCCGCGCAGAGCGAGGCGTAAATAACACAGCCGAAGACAGTAGCATTTTTTTCTTAATCGGTTGATATTCGCCTTGCGTGTTATTTGTCTATGGCTTGAAATCAAGTGGACTAATTTGCCCGTCGAGTGGTCTATTCGATGTTTTCTGTAAACAAAACCCACTTTGAATTGTCAATCCATAATAAAAAGGTGAAAATGTATGAGTGCAGAGTTCAACAGCGTTTTCTCAACACAGGGCCACCTGCTTGAGGCCGATGATTGTGAACAGACGGATAAGCCCTTTGTTATCTAACGACGTGGTCAGTTTCAAAACGAAGGCAAATTAGAGGCCAACGAATGTTAATGTTTTTTAAATTTCCCGAACGTTACTTTTGATTCTAAACGTAGAAAAAGTTATGTCCTATATGAGTAATTGCACTTGCTTCTTTGATTAATACACAACTAGCATGCATGCCGTGTTAAAGAGGGAAGGTCTCAGCGATCACTAGTTCTTTATAATGTCCAACAGTATTAAGATCACAAATCACCGATATAATAATACCACAGAGGAACTTGTTCTATGTAACCACGTAACTCGCTACAAGTCTTAAATAAACTCATAACAAGGTAAAATTATAAAAAATGTAAGAAGGTAAAGATTATAAAAAGGTAAGAAAATAGTTACAATAACAGTTTATTGAATTTTTTGTTTATGGTAATTTGTAATGAAAGTGATAAAAGTCTTTGTGAGGTAAAAAATATGCACAATTAATGCCATTCAAATTAATTACATGCTAGCGTATGTCCACATCTCTTCCTTCAATATATATGAATTTGTGGTTAGTCAAGATAAAGAGGTCCAAACCTCACCGTTCGTCATCCGTGCTAATTGTTTTATGATAATTGAAGTCTTGAAGACAGAGATGTTTTGTATATGTACTCGTGAACGGTGCTACTGTTATTCAGAAGCTGCACGACATGATGTTTCGGAAGAATCGTTTTAACGTTAATGAGAACTGTGCCTGAGCATTCAAGGCGACCCGCACGTGTGTTGAAATAAATCGGGTAACGCAACCCGTTCCTTTTATTCCGCACCAGGTCTTACGTTACACCCGGAACAAAACGCCATCGAGTTACGATTTAATTTTATTCCTCAATGATTTCTGTAATCTCGGACATACAAAAGAATTATCTTTTTTTCTGCATTTGATGACCTTTTTAGTACTGAAATGGCATCATCTTCGACTAGCACTGAGGACTTCATCGTGTTGCTTACGGCGCTTTTGCTAGTTGTCAAAAGTATATATGTAGGCTAGATATACATCTAGCCTAGTGTGTTATTCGAGTTATGTTACAGGCAGATTAGGTAATGTCTCCCATAGATTAGACAAATAAAAAAGAAAAATAAATGGAGTAGCAGTACCATGTCGCTTCAACAGATATATCAATAGTGATGGACATTATCTTTACGGCTTAAGATTCTGTAACTTTAATTATATCATTTTTTTTCAAAAAGGAGTGATAATACTTCTGAATTTCAAGTTTCAGCGTCGATGAGCAATACGTTTACTTACTTGAATTTATGTCAGCTGTGATATATTGTTTCTTGAACAATGAATTATTAGAGAAATAGACACTCTTGCAACTTGTTCGTCAAGAGAGGGAGAGAGAGAGAGTTTTGGTCTGCCATAAGGCGAAATAGCTTTTTATTGAAATACATGTGCATACTGCGATGGGATAATCACTAAAACCTTGTTAACTTAAACCTTGTTAGCGACAGTAATTTCTCCTGAATTACCCCGATAATCACATGGAAATCCCATATGTAAATATTGATAGTCATTAGCCAATTATTACCGATATTTCATGGAATTTTCATGTCATTTTGGAGAATGGAAGCGTCTGTTAGCTTCTCCTTGGGAGGCGGATCAGAGAGACTACTACGAAAAGTTTTACATTTGTAATGTAACAGAATGGCAAATATTATAGACCTCAATGCTGCTAAAACAAAACAGCATTTTGAAAGGAAAGAGTTGTGGTATGCTCGAAAATAAAGAAATATTATTTTATTGGGAATAAATATATATAATGGCATATTCCATGTTATTAACGTAGTTACCAGTCCAGTCACAATACAGTCTCATTTAAGTAGAAACAGAGTCTACTTTTCCCTCATTTTATCAAGAATTTATTTATCAACTGTGGAAGTTAATGACAAAAAAAAAAAAAAGGGATAGCACTCTAGCTGGATTTTCGCCAAGAGAGAACTGCGCCTGCGGGGAAATTCGTATCACGTCTTATTCATCATCTTTCATAAGCATTAACAAAAACTGTTATTAGTAATCTCAAAAATTAGGTGAAATGTTATTATTAGTCGATATGTTACACGCAGAAGCTGTTGATGTTCATCAATATTCCTGATTTAAAGAAACACAAAAGTAGAATGAAATAAATGAATAAAAAAGCAAAAAGACGATTTGATTCCGTGTTGCTTTACTGGAGTCAAATCACTTGCAGAGACCAGAGGAATATACATGTACAAGAGGCGGCGTAGCTGATCAACTCATTTCCATACACGTATTCCTGACCACTGAATCCCCCTTTTTTGTATTATTTTATTGTTGAAAAACACGGCACCTATTATGTGTACAGCAATCTGAGTGCTATTGATATTGGTAACCTTGTGTTACCACCTTTGCAAATCACCCTTCCTTTATAGTATCAAGTATTTACAAGTCTACCTGACAGACAAAATGAAACGGATATAAACATATCTGTGTGATTTAGAGCGTTAAGGCAGTTGGAAAAAAAAGTCCTGAGTTTTTCACAAAACACGTAGCCACTTAAGCGGAGTAGACAAAGAAAAGCGAATGATATCAACAGCAATGTCGCCAAGAGAGACGCGTATACAAATCGAAGGGAATAGAGAATACGTATGAAGTTGTACATGAAAAATGGTGTGTTCGAGAGTCTGGCATGCTATTCATCAAATGGTAAAACTGATATAAAAATCGAATATAGCAGAGCCTGTGACGGAAAACCAGTAAAATACAGCGGGGATGAAGTACCATAAAAACCACAAAAGACTACGATTAAGATGACAATATTCGTGAATTTTGAATTGCAACAGGCCATAGTGGTGACAGCATATAGTTTGTTTGCTATCCTACACCGAGTGAGAGAGAGATAGGGACTTCCTTCGCGGCGGCAGCATTCCATTGATGGCCATT